TGACTGGTTTAAGATGATATCTTATTGTGGTTTTGATTTGCTAATGTTGAGCATTTAAAAATATACCTGTTGGCCATTTGTATGTCTTCTTTCATCCCCTATCCTTTGGGCTATTGCAATGACATCCTAATTAATAAATATGTATTGTGAGAGCATTTTTTCCAACACAAAAAATAGTGACACCCAACAAATCTGACAAAGGATTTTTTTTTAAAAAGACAACTTTCAGTTATGAAAGGCAATCTGAGGGATGGAAATTAGATATCAAGTATCAGTGTTCAGGTTATGAATCTTACAGTTCTAGTAGTTAAGAAGAGGAAGAGATCACTTCCATTTTGCTTATCAGGGAAACATTTATACAAGAGCTTGATTTTAAGGAACAAGATAGGCAGAGAGCACAGTATGAACAAATGCACATGGCATATTTGTTAGTGGTTATTGCGGAGTAGACTTGTTTGTTTGGAATGGAGAGTTCATGCAGTTTTTCCTAATTGATGATAATTATCACTTTGGGTGCTTGTTAAATATACGATTAGCAAACCTCTGGATTAGAAATTTTGATTCAATAGGTCTGAGTGAGGGTATAGGAGTCAGTGTTTTTAACAACCCTGATTCTTAGGTTCAGGGAAATTTGGGAAACACAGAACTGTAGAGAGAATAATGGCAGATGAAGGTGGAATGGAAAGTAGGTGCTAGATAATGTGAGACTTTCAAAGCCAGGTGCAGGAGCTCAGAATGTTGCCACTGAATATGAGCAATATCTAACGTTTGGAAGTCTGTGACTATCTCCTGCTTTCCATATTGGAAATGCTGCCAGTATTATGACTGTGGATAGCATAGGTTATGAGCTGTTGTCTTGTTTACATTGGAGGAACTGTCAGGTTTCCTTGGACTCTGCAAAAATATGTAGTTACAGGAATGAGACCTTTAACTTCATAGCTCAAGCAAGGGCTTGTGTCAATCAAGTGCACTGATTTTTCAATTTGTCCCCACTCTAGCCTGTAATCAGTGATTTCAGCACCATTGCATACAGGAATGTGAAAGATGCAACAGACACAGAAATTGAGTTCTTTCTCTAGGTAGTCACTATACTAGATACTGTCAAGAGTTACAGCATGATCCTTTCAGTGTCAAAGCTTATAATCTATTAAATGCTATGAGATACAGACAAGTGTAGAAATAATTAAGCAGAAGGCAGTATACTATAATTAACATTAAAAGGCTCAAATAAAACTAAGAAAAAGGATCATCTAATTTTACATATTAGATGAATGCCTTTAAAAATGTATTAAAATTATTTTTAAGTGAGTTACTTAAAAAAGAGCAAACTTGCATATACTAATGTTGCTTTATATTACTATTGGTTACTGGGATGAAACACAAACCCTAGTATTCTCTGGCCTTTATACAGTGATACAGTGATACAGTGATGTAATCATACCTGTCATCTATTATTAAGACACTAAGGCTTTTTGTTAATGCTACACATACCCTGCTAGAGTCTGGGAAAAAGGGAAGAAAATTTTAAAGATACTTACATGACTGAATAATTAGGCCTCTTTTTTTTATTTTTATTTTTTAGAGCTTAGTTTGAATGTGAAAATATTCACATGGATGTAAAAAAGTTATTTTCTGTTTTTTTTTTTTTTTTTTTTTGATGGAGTTTCGTTCTTGTTGCCCAGGTTAGAGAGCAATGGTGCCATCTTGGTCCACCGCAACCTCTGCCTCCCGGGTGCAAGTGATTCAGTGATTCTCCTGCTTCAGCCTCCCGAGTAGCTGGGATTACAGGCATGCGCCACCACGCCTGGGTAATTTTGTATTTTTAGTAGAGACAGGGTTTCTCCATGTTGGTCAGGCTGTCTTGAACTCCTGACCTCAGGTGATCTGCCTGCCTCGGCCTCCTAAAGTGCTGGGATTACAGTTGTGAGCCACTGCGCCCAACCAAAAGTTTGTTTTTTTTAAAGCTTCATTATCTTATAGCCACATTTCTTATGTGTCATACTGTATAGTTACATGCAAGCAAACATGACCAGAGATTTCCCAATGATGCTTTAAAAAATGCTAAGTTCTATAAATTGATTTAACTTTATCTCTTATTTTAGTTTTAAAAATTAAATTAGTGACCTATTGATATTCTACTTGGTTTTCCAAATGTATTACTCTCCTCAAATATAGGCTCTGTAGAGCAGGATTAGCATTGCTGTAGCCTTCCTAGTACCATTAGTATTACATCCTAGGTGTGTTCCAGAAACCATGATCCAAGATTTGTGGGATTCTAATTCTAAACTCTGACTTCTTAGGGAGTTCCAGAGTTTCCAAAAAAGGTTCTAAAAAAATTACTGTGCTTTTATAATAATCATAAATTAATAACAATAAATTGATAACATACTCCCCAAATAACAACAACACAATTTGGACCCTTTCAGGTTAGTACAGGTATACCACATTGAGAAGGAGGGCCTGGGACTGATGCGGTTTCACACTTCATTGAAAGATCCAAACTACAAACAAACAAATAAGCAAACATACAAATGATTGTGCAGGCATGATCACTTCCCACCTTGACGGGAAGTAGCAGCATATATCCATCCAAAGTGAAATGGACTACAAATGGGACAACGTAACAATATAACTTCTCTATCCCTATTTGCTGTTTTTAACTAGAAATTGTGTATTCTACAGGAATTTGTTTACTCAATCTGTATTTCACTTCAGAGCCAGGGTGCCCTTGTGTGTCATCGTGGTTACCGTTTGCTTTTTTGACACATACAAGTGCTTCAGGGTTTCCATTAGCAACAGAATTTTCTATTAAAATATACAAAATCAAATTTAAAGTATTTTGTAAATAGTTTTAAAGGTGCTTCTCTAAAATTATACAAAATAATTTGAGAAGACTTAAAACACTTAAAGTAACAGAAGACTCAAAATATAGTAATCGTGTCAATTAATTTTTAAATTTTATTTACAGACTTAAAAAAATTTGTGGTTGCAATTACTAAGTAAGAAACAACTAGCCAAGCTCGGTGGCTCCTGCCTGTAATCTCAGTGCTTTGGGAGGCTGAGGTGGGAGGATCACTTGAGGCCAGGAATTCATGACCAGCCTGGGCAACAAAGTGAGACCCTGTTTCTTCAAAAAATAAAAAATGTAGCTGGACATGACGGTGTATGCCTGTAGTCCCAGCTACTCGGGAGGCTGAAGAGGGAGGTTTGCTTGAGCCCAGGGGTTCAAGGCTGCAATAAGCTATGATTACTGTCAGTGCACTCCTGCTTGGGTGACAGAGTGAGACCCAGAATCTAAAAAATGAACAAAGTAAAAAAAGAAACAATTGGCTGACCAATATTTGATTATATACTAAAAGAAAATCACTCTTTCTGCTTTAATATCATTTAATATATAAAAAATCAAAAGTTACAAAACAGGAAATATAGGCTTAGTCATACAAATCATACAAAGAAGCCTCACTGCATAGGACATTGGTTTCTCTGGATTTTGTCTTACCATTCAAGGGTGGAGGACAGCATGATGCAGGAGAAAGAGTAGGTGTTTGAATAGTCAATATATCTGAAGGCTAAGAGAAAGAAAAAATACGTTATGACTGTACTGAATTAAAGTTCAGTTTTGTAAAACATTTAGTAATATGATACAGCTCATTTCAGTCTTCAGTTTAAAATGCTTTCCATCTTTCTTTTCTCACCTGTCTGGACTATAAGTGAGTTACAAAAGACTCTCAGTTTATATGCAGTACCAGGTTGCAGGTGATTATATAGAAATTCCCTTTTGTTGCCACTGTAAATTATGTTCCAGAGATTCACTGAAGGGATAAAAGCAAATTTATTCAATTTATTTATGGGTAGCTTATCATTTAAAAAAATTTTTTTGAGTGGAGTCTTGCTCTATCATCCAGGCTGGAGTGCAGTGGTGCAATCTTGTCTCACTGCAACCTCCACCTCCCGGGTTCAAGCAATTCTCATGCCTCAGCCTCCCAAGTAACTGGGATTACCAGCCTGTGCCACCAAACCTGGCTAATTTTTGTATTTTTAGTAGAGACGGAGTTTCACCATGTTGGCCAGGCTGGTCTTGAACTCCTGACCTCAAGTGATCCACCCGCCTTGGTCTCCTAAAGTGTTGGGATTACAGGCATGAACCACTATGTCCAGCTTGCTTATAAATGTTATCGGTTTCTGTGATATCTCATGTATATACTAAGAAATAACAACTTTGGAAACGAAGTTGGTCCAGTTATCTATTTCAATAGTAAAATAATATATGCCCCATGAATTAACCATAAAATCATAAGATATCAGTCAGTAAACATGATTTATTACTAAAAACTGCAGAAACTCAAGTAATTTCTTGGGTTTAGGTGATAGTATTATCCCAATGCCAATTTCCTAGTTTTGATAATTGTACTATGGTTATGTAAAATATTAATCTTAGGAGAAGCTGAGTGAAGATTTAACATGGGAACCCTCTATACCTTTTTTTTTTTTTTTTTTGCAATTTCTAGTGAGTCTAAAATTATTTCAAAATAAAATATTTTAAAAAATCATGATGCCTTACCATCTGAATTTTCACTAACTTCTAAACTGTAACTTGAAATGTATGTTCCACCATTATCTTTGGATGGTTCTGCAAAGAGAAATAAAATCAAAATTATTCTTGAATAAACTTAAAAGTCTCCCACTTGAATGTTATCTCATGAGTTAACAAAAATTTTTCACAGAGGAAAAAATGTAAACATGAAACAATAGTGTATTAATAACCAGACATTAATAAAGATAATAAAAACATAATTCAAGTTACATGCTTGGAATATTGGACATGAAGCATTTAAATAAATATTGTAAAGTTATTTGCAAGAGACTGAAAAGCTAAGTATATGTGCCATAAAGTTGATTTCTCTAGTTTGGAGAGAAAATAATTTGTATGAATATAATTTCTTAAGCTGACGTTTATCACTGATGTGGCCTTCTAATTGTGGCCTCCATATTAGATGTAATCTTACTTAAGGACACATAAAGCTCAACAATTTGTTCATGTGCAAATTAATGAGGTAGCAAGAGAGAACTAGAAAAATAATAGAATTTACAACTAAACCCATTTATATGGCAGAATATCTCACATATAAATGATTAAGAGAACATTTTATAAAGCTGAGGACAATGAGAGGAAGATTTCTTCTCAATAGTTAATATTAAGACAGAGGGAAAATTTTAAATACAAAAACATTACTTGTTCCATCCCATTTTTACACTGTGTGCATGGATCTTTCCTTTTATATATGGTTTTCTAGGGGATCCAGTTTTATCTGGACAGGTAGTATATTTTACTTCTCCACTGGAGTTGCTTCTTCCTTCCATATTGCAGGCAAAGATCTGTTTAAATAAAAGAGGATGATGTGGCTGACCATTGCAAATGAATGTCTGATTTGAAAATGTTCAGTTTGCAAATATAAAGTAAGTTGAGTGAGCATTTCTAAGAACTAAATACAAAATAAGGTTTAATTTCAAATAAAATACACTCATTTGTCTGGTGAAAAGTATAATTTTATATTAAAATATGACACAAATTTATAAAGTATAGCCATATACCCTTGTATGTAGTACTTCTCTGAAGACTTCTTATAGTGCATGAAAAGTCTTCTCCATTGTATTTCGGCTTAAAATCTAAACCCTAGAAAGACAATGAACTTTGGAACTGGACAAGCATGCATTACAACTTCAATTTATTTTCCATCTGGGTGATTCTGAGCAGGTCCCTTAGTGTCTCTGAACTTCAGTTTCTCTGTATAAAAAATGGAGATAATTTCTACTTTGACAGGCTCATTCCTTTGGGGGGATTTAATGAGGTAATGAATGTGAAAGCACTTAGTACGTTACTTGCAGCATAGAACACTTCTCAAAATTTATCTACTTTATGTAAACTGTGGTAAAATATACATAATATAATTTACAGCTGCTTTACAAATTTACCAGCCTATTCAGTACAGACTTGAAAGTTCAGGATGGAATGAAATAGTTGCCTGCCCTTATCAGGAATCCAGTGATAGGAACAAAGGGTAGAAATATGTTGAGGTGCTGAAGATTTATGTGACTATGCAAGGTTGTCTGGTATAGGCCCAAAGTTAAAAACTAACACAATTCTCTGAGTCTCTATGCTATTGTTATGGCTGCTGCTGCTTCTAGCTAATTTGCAGGGACTTGAGTAGTTTTAGATCTTTCTGTGCAGCATTGCCTAACCCCAGCTCTGAGCTGGCCCCATCTAGAACACAGGAAGTCAGGAGTCATGCAATTCCTGACCCAACCTAGGCTCTGTATTGGCTCCCTGCAGAACACAGGGGACTCAGGAATCATGCAATTCCTGAATGAATTGACTGAGTAGAAAGCAAATTGATTAAATTAAAACTCTTCCCAAGTGTGGAATCCATGTAACAAATACCTAAAACTGAGGTTGAAGATTAAAGCATATGAAAGAAAAATGTACAGATCCTGCTTCCTACATTTCTAGTACATAAGTAGGGGTGTCATTTGGGTTTGTGTTGGGGCACACCAGTCTAATGACAAATAACGGATTCTTGCTTCTTTTAGCTTAGGAGGCGGAGGTGTTGGAGGCATAGTTCCTGATGTATGGAAGACTGCTGTTTAACTGAAATCACTGAAAAATAGATTAAGATGGAAAATTAGTCTCAGATTCTTATTGAAGTATAGATTTAAATATTGTAAACATTTAAATATACTTCAAGCCAAAGTTATTTTTGGCAGCTAATCTGAATGAGTATTTTGTAGAAACACTCAGTCCAAGGATCTTGTGCTGTTTTATGATACTCATATAGCAACTTTTGAAGTCTTCACCTTTGCCTTTAATAATAGACACAAAATATTAGAATATCATAAAATGCTACAGTTAACAACAAAAATTCATCATAGCATTAATAATCATCCACAATCAAGTGCTTTTTAAAAATAAAACTGTATACTTCATCCCATTCCAAAAGGAAACTGTTTATTTTGGAACTATTATCATTGGAACCCTAAAAATATTTTTAAAAGGTTATGAGGGGCCGTTTTTACATGGAATACATATATATATGCTAAATACATATATGCATATGTATATACATTTAAAGTTATATAAGTTACTCTAAAATTAATCTGCTTATATTTTGTTTATGAAGCAATCCAGATTTTAAAGCTAAAATGCACTTTTTACACTCTGCAAGACATTCTTAGTTTTTTTTTTTTTTTTTTTTTTTTTTTTGAGACGGAGTCTCACGCTGTCGCCCAGGTTGGAGTGCAGTGACCTGATCTCGGCTCACTGCAATCTCCGCCTCCTGGGTTCACGCCATTCTCCTGCCTCAGCCTCCCGAGTAGCTGGGACTACAGGCGCCCGCTACCGCGCCCGGCTAATTTTTTGTATTTTTAGTAGAGACGGGGTTTCACTGTGGTCTCGATCTCCTGACCTTGTGATCCGCCCGCCTCGGCCTCCCAAAGTGCTGGGATTACAGGCGTGAGCCACCGCGCCCGGCCTAGACATTCTTAGATTCTTTGTGTTGTTATGTTTTCCAAATTGTATACAATGAAAAAAATTGGAACTTAAGCAAATTGAGAGGTATATTTATTGGTAACTAAAATTATAAATAATTAAGTTGTAGAAATCGATACTTCAACTTTGTTAATTATTGAAATTCTTACAAACATTTCTCAATTTTCCTTGATGCTTGGTATACATAGAAGTGAAAGATTATTATGAAGAATACAAAGTGCTAGGGAAATAAGTCGAACGAGGCATGCATCATTCTATACAATTTAGGACACTGTAGGAAGAGTATTTTTAAATTATAAAAACATGTTCAGGTGCTTTTGATAGTAAAATCCTTACTTTCCACTGTAAATTCAGGCTGCTCTTGGATCTGTTAATCAGTCTGGGTGCAAGTGGAGGGTCCAGTTTGCAACTTGGGGTTATGAAACTAACTACTTCAAACACAGTTGCGTGTTCTGAGCCTCTTATGGTTGTTACTCTAAAAATGTAATAACAATTGTAAACTTTCAAATATTTATCCTGACATACATGATAAATTGCAAACTTGGGTTTCAGACATATTTCCTATGAGCTAAGTATAAGAAATTTACTAATAAAAATTTTCTAATAAAGCAAAGTTGAGTCCCTGCAAATAATGATTCTCAAAGCACTCTCTTACCTGTTCCAAATGAAAAAAAGTGAACTAATGCTAGATTTGGAGGAGCCTATTTGGAAGCTTGAAGGCAGGGTCTGTTGGCAAATAGTAAGGCAGACTGAAGGAATTATAAGTAGTGACCGATATAGATTAGAGAGTCTGACTGGATATGGGGTGGTGTAGTCTGTTTAGAATGAAGTTCTTACCTTAAAAACTAGGCCATGGATGATTGTAGATCAACTAGGGTAAAGGTAACTCCATCACCACTGTGAAGATAATCTTTGTTTACAGTGGATCTCACACATATTTAAAAGCTAAGTAAGCAGTGTTAATCATATATATTCAACTGACAGAAAAAGAGAAGCACAATTGAAATTTGGATAACTTTAATCCATTTTATGTGCATGCAAAATAGTGATTTAATAATTCATTACACTTTATTTGCATGCCAAATTAATACAGCTTTAAGAAATGAAATTTTACTATTTTACCATTGCATATTCTTCACACTGCAATAGTGCAGACTTCTCTTTAACTAGTTTATTTTAAATAGTATAGATATGAAAATCCTCAATGAAACCATGAATCATGAAATTTATTCATTCAGTCATCAAGAAAAATTTTCCTGGGGTGGGCACCTATCTGCTACAATGAATAGAGTGACTGCTCCCAAACTGATGCCTTCCTGAGCAAACAGTCACAAGTACCTAGGAGTGTTGTACCACCTTAAGAAACTCCGTCAGGCTATAGACTCTAAAATGTCCTCCAAAAAAAGGTAAAAAAATGGATGCTTCTAAGCACAGGCCACTCAGGGTGACCAGAGGTATCAGAAATAATATTTTCAATTAAAAATAATAATTTTTGTAAAGTGCATACTAGACAAATACCACCATGCAAATTCATACAAAAGTCATTTTTACAAAGAGCTTTTCATCACGTCACACCTTCCCATCCCCCTATCCAATATAGAAGGTTACATATTGTAAAACTTAGACTTAAAAAATTTAGCTGCTAGTTATAAAAGAAATAAAACTGATCATTAAATGCAAATCAAAACCACAATGAGACACCATCTCATACCAGTCAGAATGGCTATTATTTTATTGTTTTTGTTTCTTAAATTTTATTTTTCCATAAGTTATTGTGGTACAGGTGGTATTTGGTCACATGAGTAAAATTTTTGGTGGTGATTTGTGAGATTTTGGTGCATCCATCACCTAAGCAGTATACACTGTACCATATTTGTAGTCTTTTATCCCTCGGCCCTTCTCACTCTTCCCCCCAAGTCCCCAAAGTCCATTGTATCATTCTTATGCCTTTGCATCCTCATAGCTTAGTTCCCAGATATCAGTGAAAATGTACAATGTTTGGTTTTCCATTCCTGAGTAACTTCACTTAGAATAATAGTCTCCAATCTCATCTAGGTCACAGCAAATGCTGCTAATTCATTCCTTTTAATGGCTGAGTAGTATTCTATCATATATATATCTACCACAGTTCTTTTTTCCATTTTATTTATTTTATTTATTTATTTATTTTATTTTTTATTACTATTATCTCATTATCTATACTCTTAAAGTTCTAGGGTACATGTGCATAACACGTGCAGGTTTGCTTACGATATGTATGACCCTGTGGCCATGTTGCTGGTGGCTGCCACCGCATCAACTCGTCAGCACCCATGCCAACGAATCCGTCATTTACATCGGTATCGACGTCCCAATAGATGGAATCCCTTCCACCTCCACCCTCCCAGTGATAGCCGCGGCCAGTGTTGATGTTCCCCTTCCCCGGAGTCCCAAGTGATCTCAATTGTTCAGGTTCCCACCTATGAGACGAGACATCGCGGTCGTGTTCGGTTTTCTGTTCTTGTGATCTTCTGCATACAAGAATGTGGTTTCCAGCTCCATCCATGTCCCCTACCGAAGCGACACAAACCATCCTTTTTTATGGCTGCATAGTATCTCCCATGGTGTATACGTGTGCCCACATCGCATTTTCTTAATCCAGCTGCTCACGTGCGATGGAATTTTGGCTTGATTCCAACGTCTTTGCTCATTGCTGCGAAATAGTGCCACAACTAAAGCAAGGTACGTGTGCATGTGTCATTTACTACGCCAGCATGATTTATACATCCTTGTGCCGGTATACTCCCCCAGTAATTTGGGCGGGATGGCTGGGTCATATGGCTCTCTACTTCTAGAATCCCTTGCGCGCCATACTGTTTTTCCATAATGGTTGAACACTAGAGTTTTACATCCCACCAACAAGTGTAAAATGCTTCCTATTTCTCCACATACCTCTCCCAGCACCCCCTGTTCGTTTCCTGACTCTTTTAATGATGCCCCGCCATCACCACTGGATTGTGAGATGGTATCCCTCATTGTGGTTTTGATTTGCATTTCTCCTGATCGGCCCGTGCATGATGACAGCATTTTTTCATGTGTCCTGTTGGCTGTCATAAATGCTCTTCTTCTTTAAGAATGTTCGTTCATATCTTTCTGCCCACTTTTTTTGATGGGGCTGTTTGTTTTTTTCCTGTATTTGTTTGAAGTTTCTCTCTTGTAGGGTCTGGATATTAGCCCTTCTGTCAGATGACGATAGATTGCCCAAAAATTGTCGTCCCGTTCTGTAGGTTGCCTGTTCAACTTCTGATGGTAGCGTTTCTTTGCTGCGGCAGAGCTCTTTGAATTTAATGAGCTCCCATTGTCCAATTTTTGGCTGTTTGCCTGCCGTTGCTTTGCTGTGTTTCAGACATGACAGCTCTTCTGCCCATGCCATGTCCGCTTGAATGGTATTACCCAGAGATGCAAGAAGAAGCCTTTCCATCAACAACTGTCTCAGAGCTTAAAGGAGGAATTACTGCTACCCAGGTCGCAAAAGAACTAAAAATCTTGAAAAGAAGAGTGGACAGAATTTGATAAACTAGATAAATTAATGCAGAGAAGGCCATAAACCGAACTGACAGAGGTGAAAACCCATGGGGACCCCCCCCGAGAAACTACGTGCACAATGCACGAAGCTTCAGTCACCAAGTCGATCAACTGGCAAGGAGAGTATCAGAGCGATTGAGGATCAAATGTAATGAAATAAGCCGAGAACAGAAATTCTAAGAAAAAGAAGAAAAGAATGAACAAAGCCTTGCAAGAGTATGGGGGATTCATGTAAAAAGACCACAATCTATGTCCTGATTGGGGCTTGCCTGGAAAGTGAGCGGGGAAAATGGACAACCAAGTTGAAAAACACTGCTTCAGGATATCAATCCAGGAGAATTACCCCCACCTAAGTAGGCAGCCGAACATTCAAATCCCAGGAAATACAAGAGAACGCCACACAAAGGATATCCTCGAGAGAGCAACTCCAAGACAACATAATTGCCAGATTCACCAAAGTTGAAATGGAGGAAAAAATCTTAAGGGCAGCCAGAGGAAAGATTGGGTTAGCCGCATAAAGGAGACACCATCAGACTAACAGCAGATCTCTCAGCAAGAAACACTCCAAGCCAGAAGAGATAGGGGGGCCAACTATTCAACATCTTAAAGAAGCAAGAATTTTAAACACCAGATTTCATCATCCAGCCCAACTAAGTTTCATAAAATGAAGGAGAAATAAATCCTTGACAGATAACGCAAGTGCATTGCTTAGAGAGATTTTGTCCCGACCAGGCCTGCCATTACCAAGCAGACCCTGAAGGAAACACCACAACCGGAAGAGGAACAACCGGCTACCGGCCCATTGCAAAAACATGGCAAACATGGGTACAAGACCATCAATTGGCCTAGGAATAAACTGCATCAACTAGACGAGCAAACATAACCAGTTACATGACCATAAACTCGCCAGGATCAATTGTCTACACATAACCAAATACTTAACCTTAAATGTAATGGGACTAGAATGCTCAATAAACAGACACAGACTGGCCAACTCGGATAAAGAGTGTCAGACCAGTCAGCTCTGCTGTATTCAGCGACACCCATCTCACATGCCAAGAGACATACACTTAGGCTCTCAAATAAGAGGGAGGAGCGGAAGATCTGACCAACGCAAATGGAGAACAGAAAAAAGCATGGGGTTGCCATCCTAGTCCTCCTTGATAAAACAACTTTACAACCTCAAAAGATCAAAAGACATAAAGCCATTACATAATGGTAACAGGGATCAACTTCAACAGGAAGAGCGTAAACTAATCCGTACAATACTACATGCCACCCAACAGAGAGCACCGCGCAGATTCATAAAGCAAATCCTTAGAGACTTACAAGAGACTTGACTCGCCAACAATACAATCGAATAAGGGCGAGACTGCTCTACCACGGTTCTTTATCCACTTGTTGATTGATGGACATTTGGTTGCTTGGTTTCACAATTTTGCTTAATTGTGAATTGTGGCTGCTATAAACGCACTGCATGTGCAAGCATCTTTTTCATATAATGGATTTCTTTTCCTCTGCGTAGATACCCAGTAGTGGAATTGCTGGATCAAATGGTAGTTCTACTTTAGTTTTTTCTTTCTTTTTTTTTTTTTTTGAGATGGAGTCTCAGCTCTGTGCGCCCAGGCTGGGGAAGTACGAGTGGGCCGCAATCTCGGCTCACTGCACCAGCGTGCCGCTCCGGGCTTCACGCCATGCTCCCCTGCTCAGCTCGCCGGAGTTAGCTGGGACCTCAAAGGCGCCCGCCACCTCGCCGCTAATTTTTTGCGTATTATTTTTAAGTAGAGCACGGGTTTCACACCACGGGGTTTCCCCCACCGAGTTTACCACGATGGTCCGGAGTTCTCTGAAACCCTCGTTGATCCGCGTCTGGCTCACCAAAGTATGCTGGGATTACAGGCTTGAGCCACCGCGCCCGGCCAACTTTTAGTTTTTTAAGGAATCTCCACACTGTTTTCCATAGCAGCTGTACTAGTTTACATTCCCACCAGCAGTGTAGAAGTGTTCGCTGATGAACGCATCCATGCCAACATTGACTGTTCTTTGATTGTTTGATTATGGCTATTCTTGCAGGAATAAGGTGATATTGCATTGTGGTTTTGATTTGCATTTCCCTGATAATTAGTGATGTTGAGCATTTTTTCATATGTTTGTTGGCCATTTGTATTTCTTCTTTTGAGGATTGTCCATGTCTTTAGCTCACTTTTTGATGGAATTTGTTTTTTCTTACTGATTTGTTTGAGTTCATTGTAGATTCTTGTTATTATTCCTTTGTCAGATGTATAGATTATGAAGATTTTCTCCCACTCTGTGGGTTGTCTGTTAACTCTGCTCACTCTTCCTTTTGCTGTGCAAAAGCTCTTTAGTTTAATTAGGTCCTGGCTATTTATCTTTGTTTTTATTCCATTTGCTTTTGGGTTTTGGGTCATTAAATCCTTGCCTAAGCCAATGTCTAGAAGGGGTTTTCCAATGTTATCTTCTAGAATTGTTACAGTTTCAGGTCTTAGGTTTCAGTCCTTAATCCATCTTGAGTTGATTTTTGTATAAGGTGAGAGATGAGGAACCAGTTTCATTCTCTTACATGTGGCTAGACAATTATCCCAGAACCATTTGGTTGAAAAGGTAGTCCTTTCCCCACTTTATGTTTTTTGTTTGCTTTGTCAAAGATCAGTTGGCTGTATTTGGGTTTATTTTGGGTTCTCTATTCTGTTCCAGTGGTCTATGCATGTATTTCTATGCCAGTACCATGCTGTTTTGGTGACTATGGCCTTACAGTATAGCTTGAAATCAGGTAGTGTGGTGCCTCCAGATTTGTTCTTTTGGCCTAGTCTTGCTTTTGCTACAAGGGCTCTTTTTCAGTTCATTATGAATTTTAGAATTGTTTTTTCTAATTCTGTGAAGAATGATTATGGCATTTTGATGGGGATTGCATTGAATTTGTAGAATGCTCTTGGCAGTATAGTCTTTTTCACAATATTGATTCTACCCATCCATGAGCATGGGATGTGTTTCCATTTGTTTGTATCTATGAATTCTTTTTTTTTTTTTTTGGGATGGTGTTTTCCCCAGGCTGGAGTGCAGTGGCCGGATCTCAGCTCACTGCAAGCTCCACCTCCCGGGTTTACGCCATTCTCCTGCCTCAGCCTCCCGAGTAGCTGGGACTACAGGCGCCCGCCACCTCGCCCGGCTAAGTTTTTTCGTATTTTTTAGTAGAGACGGGGTTTCACCGTGTCAGCCAGGATGGTCTCGATCTCCTGACCTTGTGATCCGCCCGTCTCGGCCTCCCAAAGTGCTGGGATTACAGGCTTGAGCCACCGCGCCCGGCCATCTATGAATTCTTTTAGCAGTGTTTTGTAGTTTTCCTTGTAGAGGTCTTTTGGCTCCTTTGTTAGGTATATTCCTAAGTATTTTATTTTTTTCCAGCTATTGTAAAGAAGTAGAGTTCTTGATTTGATTCTCCACTTCGTCACTGTTGGTATATAGAAGAGCTAATGATTTGTGTACATTAATCATGTATCTGGAAACTTTGCTGAATTCTTTTATCAGTTCTAGGAGCTTTCTGGAGGAGTCCTTGGGTTTTTAAGGTATGCAGTCATATTGTCAGCAAATAGGGACAGTTTGTCTTCCTCTTTACTGATTTGGATGCCCTTTATTTTTTTCGCTTGTCTGATTGCTCTGGCTAGAACTTCCAGTATTATGTTGAAGAGGAGTGGTGAGAGTGGGCATCTTTGTCTTGTTCCAGTTCTCAGTGGGAATGCTTTCAATGTTTCCCCATTCAGTATCATGTTGGCTGTGGGTTTGTCATAGATGGCTTTTATTACATTAAGGTATGTCCCTTGTATGCTGATTTTGCTGAGAGTTTTAATCATAAAGGGATGCTGGATTTTGTTGAATACTTTTTCTGTGTCTATTGCGATGATCATGTGATTTTCATTTTTAATTCTGCCTATGTGGTGTATCACATTTATTGACTTGTGTATGTTAAACCATCCCTGCATCGTGTTAGATTATCTTGTTGATGTGTTGTTGGATTTGGTTAGCTAGTATTTTTTTAAGGATTTTAGCATCCATATTCATCAAGGATATCAATCTGTATTTTTTTCTTTTTTTTGGTTA